CTTCTTATAAGCAAAAATTATTTAAAATAGAAAACCCTTTTTAGTTATGAATCACCAATAAATAAATTTAGTAGCATTTATTTTGATATAACCATATGAAAATTTTCTACAGATAGCAAATATTTTCATTTTAATTTCATTATTTTCTTGTTTCAACACTTGTGGAAGGGTATACACCTAAAAGGGAGAGAAGGGGCTTAGTGTTAAGTGTGTGTGCGAAAGTGTCTGAAGGTCTTAATTCAAGCCATGTCAAAAACTTGGCATTTTGCTTCAAATTTGCCATCTGTACAAAGGTGATAATACTTCCTGCAAACTATAGGAGATGTGAAACTTCATTAGAGCTTGATAACACAAGAAATTACCTATTCCTGAATAATTCCATATGAGAACCATTTGTAAGGTTAATTATGTTGAAAGGGAAATGCATTTGAAAGTGGAATAACTGTTGTATATAAAAAATACTTTTCCTTAAAACAAATATTTTTTTAACTGGGCCAGGACATTCATTCATTAAGGTTATTTTAAGTGTGGAAAATCCAATCCAGGATCACATTAACATGTCCTATTCTTGTGTGTTTAAAATACCACATATGAACTAATTTAAGAATATCCAACTGATGACTACAGGATTTTCTAAAATTGTCTACATGAACACCATCTTAAGTGGTGTTCTGCTGAAGCAAGATGTTGTTGACAGATATTTTTATTCAATTTATAACAAAGAAGCTTTATGACAGCTTTAAAAAATGTCATATTAATGAATATTCCTGTGACATTATCTTAGCAATTTCAAAACAATTCTCTAGTAGCATTATGATGTGGTTTTGATGGAGCTTTTGATGTGAAAACCATTTCTTGTCACTTCTTCAGAGATAATCTTGAGAAAAAGGCAAATGTTGCCAACAGTTATACAGCAATGAAGTCAATGACATTATAAGGGTTTATTTTCATCATAATTCTGATAAAGTTTAAAACCCGCAAAGCTCTTTCCAAAGAGGCTGCTGAAGTCTCTGTTAATTCAAGGTGCTACCACCTTGGCACACATATTACCATGCATGGACCTGCACAAGAAGGTTGCATAACCCTGGACCAACAGCACATTGCCAGAAAAGCGTCAAAACAATGGGACCTAAATTTACAGATGAATAAAAATATTTTCAATAGCATCCACTTTCCATTTAGAAATAAGTTTGACCCAATCATATTGAGTAGCAAATCACCACATGTACAACATATCTCAACACTTCAACAGACTGTTTAAAGTCTGTTTCTAGATCTCTGTTGTTGCTGCAAGTCAACATAGATTTAAAAGGTCCTTGGAGGGGTGGAGGGGCTTCTTTTTTGGGAAAATTATGGTGGAATTGGCTGGTATGGATTTAAAGCATAAGACTCTGCAATTAAAGCTTTTGTCCAGTTAGTCTTAATGAGACATGTAAGAAAATGGAATTTTAATCCACAATAATTTTATGCAGGGACCTATTTAAATTGTACCTGAGGGAGAAGGGTTGGGTGAAAGATCAACAATCTTCTAATAGTGGTGGCTTTCCTGTTAGGAAATCACTATCAGTTCAAGACTCCTGACTTCCGCATTTCTCCTCACTGGCACAAAACTTTGTTCCACACAATTCCACAGTAAATACCAATACAAGACTACTTGGCAGACAGTGACTAATTGACCTAGAGATGGTTCTGGTGCCTCCTGGTATTGAGGCAGTGCTCTGTGCCATGCACCTGGGATTGTGGTCCCTGGGTTGGTCTGCTAGAAAATATGGCTAGAGTGGGCTGGGGCAGACTGCCAGTCCCACAATGGGATCTCCTGCCATGGCAATTGGAGCATGTGTGGAAAAATGGTGGGTACTTATATCTTCCCCTGAGGCAAACAGCTGGAAAGTGTTCTTGGATCTTGTAAAGGTACAGGGCTGATTGAAAGTCAGTATTATTTTTGGTGTTTAATCACTCAGGGTTTTGTGAAAACCTACCAGTTTGCCCTTGTTCCAGTGCATGGCATGGTCTATCCCGAGTCAGACCTCACCATGGTCGCAGGTCACAGGTAGGAAGGCTACAGGTGTCTGTGTTGTATTGCACACTGAGAGTGCCTGGTGTATCCAGGAGCAGAGTTTCTCTTGGATGTGCAGTGTCCTGGCATCTCTCCCTGCTGGAGTCCACAGGTCATGTGCAAGTAATTGGCAGTTTAAACAGGGCAAGAGAAAAAGCTGCCCAGTTGGTAAGCTGCAGGGTCTGCAGCAGGCAACCTGAGATGGAGACCAATAGGTCAGACACAAAGAGAAAGACTTCTTACAGCTGCCATTGCCTGGAGCCTATTTCCCATGTTACTGAAAGAGAAGGGAAACCTGGAAAAAAAAGAAAACTCCTACACCTTGAACATAATTTACTTCTTAGTGACTAAACAAAAAAAAAATACAACCATTATTTTTTGAGGTTTTTTATTTTGTTTGTGTTTGGTTTGTTTGGTTGTTTTTTGTTTTGTTTTGTTTTGGTTTTTTTTCAGGTGTGTTCTTTACAGTCCCTTCCCTTTCATAGGGTCCTCCCCTATAGGATTTTTATGTCAGGATTTTTTAATTCCCTGGGAGAAGTAAGTTTGGCAGCTTTAATTCTAGGTGATTGGCTGGGTGAGAATAGGGATTTAGTGAACATTAACCTCTGTAGGGATGGTTTAGGAGGCTTTAGAGGATTTTGAACCAAACGGGAGATTCAGTGGTTGACAGATAAATTGGACATTCTCAGTAGCTTTGAGTAGGGGATTTAGTGGTGTGACAGATGGAATTTGATGGAAACAGGTAAGAAATAACATCTGGCTGCTTGGGCATGTTTTTTGAAACAGAATGCTGAAAAGTGCACTTAATTTTGGATGACTTATGTAAGGCTAAGTCTAGAATGAGAAACTTCAAGAAGAAATGGGAAAAGAGACAAGGATTATTTGGTGGACTTCTGACAGAGAAAATTGAGAAGTTGGGCCAAGATGAGGTATTTTCAACTGTGGAATTAGTGGTAGGAGGGGTGTTTGGAGGGGTGAGGGCATGGTGATCTTTGCTATGGCAGGGATCCAGTGTTCTAGTGCTTTGAAGACAGGGTAGAGGAGATTTTCTAAAGTCATTCTAAAGCACTCAGGGGGTAAGGAGTCATTCCCATGGAGAAAAGAAACAGGATCTTGGATCATTTATGAGAATTGGAGGGGGCTCATGAAGAAGAAATCGGGAGATTGAAGATAGAGGATAATCTCTATGTTTTTACAACAGGACCTGGTCTCAAAGACCATCAGGTTCCCTCTCTCCTTCCCTGTTAGTCTTCTCTTCAGACTACTGCTAAAAAGAATTAGCCAGAAGATCAAAACCCAGAACGAAATTTTAAGTGTGGGGAGATAGAGAAAGTTCAGAGTTAAGAGCTTCTACAGGAGAGTTCTGGGATTTGAAAGTCTGGTTTGCCCTTCCCTGACCAGGAATCCATACAGCACTTAGTTTCTGTGGATAGAGAATATGGGACTCGTTACCCTTTCACGTTCCTCTCTCCATTTCTTTCTGAAACATTGCACCCTCAAACTGTTCTGCAGAAAAATTGTTCCCCTTATAGACTCTATAGCTTAAGAAGTAATCAGATGAAATAAAACCAAACATCTCCCTACATCCATCTGTTTTTCTAGGTCAATATTTAAACAAGGAAAGCCTTGAAACTTCACAGTTCTACTTTGATCTGTAATTTGTATGGTTTAGACTTCATGTCTCTTGGACTCCAAGGCCTCAGAGGTCAGACTGGACTCACTGGACCTCCTGCTGCTGAATCTGTGCACTCAAGTGCTGCCTCAGGAGCATCTACTGCATTTGCTGGTGCTGGTTAGATATTAGGTATTCTGCAATTCAGCAACTGAACTGTGCTGTAAATGTGTTCAGCATCCTTTGTTCTACAATTTAGAGAAATGAGATGAGTGAGAGGTAATGTGCAGAACTTCCTTCCAGTATTTTTATTGGACTCCACTTTGATATTTTAAATACCAACACACAGACCACAGAAGTGATGCTCCCTCTTCCCCACAATCACCCACGTGCACATACTACCTCCACTACTAAAACATTAGAAGAGCAGAAGCACAGACACCCTGACTGTGAAATCACTGAAGTTGCACAAATTGAACAATAGCTTTATAGTATCGACAGAGCTGGTACTTTTCAAAAACACATCATGAAAGTTAAGCTTATCTTTTACCTCCTGCACTTTGATAGTTCTTGGTGTTGTGCAGAAAGACTTTTAAAAGGCAGTTAGTGTTTTAGTGAAATGTTTGGACAAAAGGCTTCCAGAAACAAAAGCACTTTGTTTATACAGAAACCTGATTAGTATTCTTCATACACCATCCATCCCACTGGATCTTGTTGCAGAGCTGCTGACAGGATGTGTTCCTGTGATAGGGTAGGTCTAAAGTGACTTTTTATCAGATAGTTTTTATTTTATGTGGATTTGAAAAATGCTTCCCCCCCCCTTAAATATGAGTGTTAGGGCATAAACCATAAATTATCCTTCAACAGAAGGCTTCTACTTTCTGTAGGCATATAAAAAAGGACATTTCAGTATAGACTCCTTGAGCATCAATTGTACAAAGCATATTTAGACAAAATAGGATATTTTCAGATTCTAAAACAAGTGATGGTGGCATTTTAATAGATGGTATTCTTCACTGTGAGTCAATGTTAATTAAATTAATGTTCTTGCATAATTATCCATGATGTTGAAATTGCATTTTTTGGCAGAAGAGTTTAATCAAGGTATTAATTACTTGTGATTAAAAATAGTCTCTTGATTATATTTTCAAGAGGAAGATGGATAGCTCCATTGTTCTACCTAAATTCCAGCTCTGCTAATTGCATTGTGCTTATCTAAATTACGCCAGCTGTTTATTCACATGAATGCGTAGATTGACTGGGCTGTTAGTGACTAATATGTTCCATCTTCCACATTTTCAGGTCTTGTCAAATTGATATCTAAATGCTGAAGTATGTTTTTGGGAGCAGTCCACCTTGTTCTGTTGTCCAGAAAATGTCACTTAGCTTCATCCCTGCAGGGAGTATTTCTACAGTTAACAAGAGATAAAACAAGGTAAGAGTTATTCCTCCATTGCACACATTAAATACAAACAGTTATACAAGGTAATCAAGGTAATTTGCAGCAGTGAAAGAAAACAAAACCCACTCTTAACCTAGAAAATTAGTCTAAGGAAAAAAAATGACAAAAAGTTATGAAAACTGTAAAATATAAAAGTTAATGGGTATCCAGAGTAAAACTATACCTGTAAATTTAATTCCTGCCTCTAAGCAACTGCTTTTAGTTCTTTTATACATTTGGTGTGAAAAGTGAGAAGTAAAGCACCAGAAGTCAGGAAAGTAAGCAGGTTTCAGTCAAGTTTTAGGCTACTGGTTACTGGGAAGTTTGTTTGCATTTTCCAGTGTTCAGTGTTCCAGCACACATAATACAAGTGGTGCATGTTTTCTCATCCCATGACTTGTTTTCAGCCTAGTGGTCACGTCTTTTCAGCTAGGTTTGTTGAATAAGATTTTTCTAGTAGTTTCCTTTTGTATGTATAGGTTGGGATTTAACTCTCACTTCCTAAATTTTTAAAGCATATTTTTCCTATTTCAATCTATAACTTTAGTGTTACTTATATGTATAATTGTACTAAAAAAAATTAAATAATTTTTAAAGCTAAGTAAAAAAGTGATCATGCTCACTACAACTATTATATCAGTAGGAGAGAAATATTAGATTGATGGATTCTGCCACCTTCATATCCTGTCTGTGACTATGTCTCATAATGAGAATCTTTGAATAGATAGCCTATACTAGCTAGACTGCTTGTATGAAATTGTCTTCTTCAAAAATAACAGCTAAATGGTTTAAGGCTACTGCTGGGTCACCTTTGTGAAAAGTTTCAGTATTAAGGATATTTTGTACAGACTTTTCCACACTTCTCTGTGGACCCTAGAGAAAATACTAAAGTAAAACTGCAGAAGCTTCTGAGGAATACACTTCAAATTCACAACATCACCCAGGGGAAATATCTAGCTGTGTGCATCTTTGAAAAAAAAAAATCCACTTTCTTCTGTTTATTCACAGTGTATGTAGATGATTTTCCAATAATTGAACACAAACCAAAAAATTGTACTGGTACTGAGAATACGTGAGTACACTCTCTTAAGTCCCTAAAGCTTTCTAGAAAACTTTTAAGCCCTAAATAATTATAAGTAGAAATGAGGCTGATGTGGCTTCCAGGGATTATTTTATGAAATAATTAATTAAAAAAAAAATCTTAATTTCGTGGAAAACATGTCCTTGTTTTTATTAAGTATAACATTAACATTACCTGGTCAACAGGATAAAAATAAAAACAGATCAGGTGCAAAACCCCGCAATATAATTTTATTCAATGTGAGCTAATTTGATTTTTCAAGAAAAATATACCATGTTGTTGCTAAATAATTTTATCAGTTTTTGTTTTCTTTTGTATCAAATCTTATCTTGCTTTGGGTTCCTTTTAATAATTGCTAAATGTGACAAACAATTTATGAAAGAATCATGCATGCACGCACGTACACGCACTGTCAACACTATAAGTGCCCAAGCCAAATTCAATTTAATTGAATATTTTTAGCACCTGCCTATCAACTGTTTCTTTTTGCAAGCCCTGACGTTTCTTTCTGTTATGTTCCATGAGGAAAAAACAAAGCCACAAAGCAGTTTCTTTCCGTGCATCTCACTGCGTTATCTTTGTGAAGCTCTGGCAAACAGAAGAAATTTCATCTCAATTTTTCTAACATTCCTTGAGAGTCATATCCAAAACAGAAACCCTTTTTTGAGTGATGATGCTGCAAAAATATCAGTAAGAGATGTTTAATTCTCTAAAAGAAGAAAATCTCTTCAAACTGGAGAGATTGTAGCACCAATTTTTGCCATTCTCCAAATCTTCAGACAACTTAATACTTTAAAATATTATCAAAATTTTAAGTAATTTGAAAATCCAGTCTCTTTTTCAGAAGCTTGGTGTTTTTCAGCTGGAACTTGGTGTGTGTGTCTGCAGGGCTTTTTGATCAAAGAAGTGGAAGGACCTGGATAAACAATTTGAAAAAGGAGCAGAAAAAAAAAAGTCACAGGATAAGGTCATTTTCACTGCATTTCAGTGTTCTGCCGATTCTGGACTGAGGATTAATCTCTTTCTTCTAACTGGTGAGCTTTCTTCTGACTGGTGAGTTTGATGATAGTTCATCCCTAAAGCATTGGTTTAACACAGATGACTGAATTTAAGTGTGTTTAAATAATAATCCTCTCTTGCCCCTTGGCCCACTACTGGCCCTCACAAATGGCAAAACCACAGATTCTGGTTCCTACTTCCCAAAGTCTATTTTGTTCAGGTAGTAAGTTAAGGTACTTGGAAATAGCCAGTTTTACACTACTAGATTCAAAGTAGAAACAACTATGTTGCAAATTGCTTGCTTTTTAATGGCTTATTATTTTAAATTTGTATATATATGTGTGTATATATATTAGATAGTCTGTATTTCAGAAAAAAGTGCCATTAGTTTGCAATGGGGAAAGAAACATAAAAGGAAAAAAGGATCTGGACAGTGATAAATGGGCTCTTTGTTAATTGATCCCATATGAAAGAAAAATTTGAAATCATTTGGTTAAAGACATGTCTGTATAGACATAATTACTGTTTCTGACAGAGTTTTTTAAGCTCTATTTTCTTAGCTAAAACATCAGTAGAACAGGTCCTAAGACTTTTTTCCCAGTGAACGCAAATTGAAAAACAACACCAGGATTCATGTTATATCATGTTATTGAGACTGGATGTGACACTTAACGTGTCATGGTCTAGTAAGCACGGCCATGTTGGATCACGGGTTGGACTTGATGATCTCAGAGGTCCTTTCCAACTTGGCTGATTCTATGATAAATCATGAAATTCAATTTTGTCTATATTCCCATTTTAGTAAAACAACTTGCTGTTTCTCTAGAACAATTCCTTTTCATCAACAACCACACCTACTTAGCTTTTTCTGCATGCACTTACCACTACCAAAACCCACCACTATGTGTGGTAGTCTGCGACAGAGATGACAGATATATTTTAAAGGTGTGGACACATGGCTAAGCGTTACTGAATTAGAGCTGCTGAACAAATAAAGGGTCTACTTGTCCACTTTTAGCATGCCTCAACTGAGGCTGAGCTAATGCACTTTGTCTCACAGACAGGGCAGGACAAAAGCAGGTGTAACCACTCAGTTGTGTCAGCTCAGCTGTTAGCATGCAAATAGTTGATCAGGGTAAGATGGCAACATTCAATCGTAAATTCATAAACTGAGTTATGAAAATCTGGAAGAAAAACTGCTTTTATGAAGGAAAATAAACAAAAATAATAATTTAAAAGTCTTAAATCTCAAATAGATTTTCCTGACATACAGATTAGTGAAAGGATTGCTCATTCATGTGCTAATCAGATAAATGTAGCCTTTTTCACACTCCATCCACATTCACACCTTTTTTTAAATCTAAATGGAAAAGAGAGGTAATGTGCACCTTTCAGCAGTATTGCTTATCTTACCTCTTGCTTCCACAAGGAGCTGTATTTACTACACACTTTGAGAATAATAATAACCTTTACCACAATGTTTGATGTTCTGTTGTGAAGATCAAGTTCTAGAAAATGAAACCCTGCAGTAAACCCCTCACTTTCTGAGGTCTCCTTTTTAGGTCTTAACTTGTTCCTCAGCAAGCTTATTTTACTGAAGTGTAACCAGGTGCTACAGCATATTAAAATGTAAACATTTTGATGGAATAAATACAAATCAAATGTGAAAGCATAGCTGGCACCTTTGAGTATAAAACATTCTGTTGCTGTTAAACTGGCCATAGATACTGGAATAAAACATGTTTGACAGTGAAAAAAGTCCTTAGGCAATGTAGCTAGCACCATGTCAAAGGGAGAATGAAACTGTCTTTCTGTTACATATGGTTATTGATCACCGAGGCAAAACGTCTGTAAACAAAATACATTGAGTGTGTCAGCCTTTCCTGCCCTATCTTTTACAAGCAGCACACTGACATCTCTTAAAAGCATCTAGTTTGGCACTTGAAAGCTATGTAAGACTTCAAAGGAACGTTGCACTGGAAAAGAGTCTCGGGAAACAATATTAGAAAAAATATGGAAAAAATCAAAAGGCCCATTTTCAAGAGCAGTAGGATGTATACTGCATAGTTTTGATGTTTGAGCTGTTTTGTTACATTTTGAATTAAGATAGGATGATATGTTGGCTTGAACAAAGAAATAACTTGAATTTAAACCTGGTTAAACAGTACAACTTCAATGCCTCAAGAATATAGTGAATATCTAATTGCTTCCTTGGTACCTTGCTATAAAATACTACACTTTTAAAAATCATTTAATCATCATTTTATTGGATTTCTTGCTATGGTTCTGTAGGGTGTTGTAGTCAGGACTAGTCATAAGTATATATCCAGTTTACATGTGAATATGGTGCATAAGAAGAGTATTAAGAGAGGGAATAGCTAGAGAAGGAGAAAAGGGGTGGTGGGGAGGCAAGCAGGCAGAGAGCCTGAGCAAGACAGAGACTTCAGGGGGCCAGAACCATCAGGATTCCAGATCAGAAGAACTTACTGGGGCCAGCAATGGATCTTCTCTCCTGAAGTGGATAAAATAAAAGGAAACAAATGCCCTGGAAGGTAAATTCAATTTCCTAAACTGAGGATGTGGCTTTAAGATGTTTATTTTAAAATATTCAATTTTTAACAGGCCTCTGAAAGTCACACAGAGTTAAACCATGTTTCATCATCAGACATACCACTGGAAATTTTGTGGTTAATTAACAGGTGATATTACCAGAGAAAAAGTTTTAGAGGTATTTTTTTACCCTAAGCAAGCCAGAAATGTTGACATAAGGTATCTTTTATATTTTTTTTGCCACATACTTTTAAAAATTATTGTTATTAAACATTTTAATTAAATGTATGTGTTATTAAAAAATAATTTAAAGCACATTTGTATTGCATCTTCTTTGAGTAAATAAAAATCACAAAGTAGTTCTAAAGATAAATGATAAAATAAAAGTTAAATGTTTTCTATTTCCTAGTTTTATTATATTCACATTTACTTAAAAATATTTCAGTTTCCTATAGCTCATTAGCTACTGTTTCATCCATACTTTTCAAACTATAAACCAATCTGTTTTCCATATTGTTCATGAACATAATTGTAAGTAAAGTTTACAGGTTAAACTAATCATTTAAGAAAGAAGGAAGTTTAAGTAGCTCTTAAATAACTGTTGCCAAATATTCTTCTTCTGAAATATCTTTTCAACTCTTTAAATCATACATATTAATCATTCAGTCATATTCACCAAAATTACACAAGTTAAAAATTTTCATGTAATACTTCTTACCTCCTTTGTTATTTCCCCTTCTCTTGTATTATGTAAAGAATACACAAAGCTTCTGGCTAATTTTCTGCTCTTTTTTCAGACCAATTGTGTATTGAAATCAATGCAAGGTTTTCTCAGTCAAGGAATTAATTACAAGGCTGAACATATGGCTTAAATGGGGTCGGATCTCAGTTGCTACAAAATGGTGTTTTCAAACAACTGAGTTTGATTTGCTCCAAAACCTTGGTTTTGGCTTTTTTTTTTAAAATTAGGATCATCAAGAAAATCTCAAATTCAATTAATTTGATCTGGCAATTATATGATATATTTGTACTTGCATAGGTAGCTTTTCCAGTTGTAACAGTCTAGCAAATTGAGAAATAACTACCAGTTGATGTCTGTACCCTGTACTGACCCAGGAGAAATATAATTACTCTCTATCAGCATACAAATGGTCATAACAAGCACTAAGAGGCATTTTTTGTTAGTCAGCTAATGAGGAATTTAGTGGGCAGGAAAAAACAAAAATTAAATAATACTAATTTAATCTTATTACTTTTTTACCTTCTGGATAAAGCTGAGGATATAGACATGGCAGCATTGAGTAAAACTACAGAATAAATTTTTATTTATTCTGTACTAATTTCTGTAAATAAATCCAGATTTAGAGATCAGGATCTGCAATATGACAGTCGGAACTAAGCATGTATGTAACAGGTTACATTAGATTAAAAGGCTGGTTTTGTATTTCATCTCAACAGCAGTACTTGTATCTTTGTTAGCATCGATTTTTGTTGGTTGAAGGGAAAGGAGTCATGCAGAAAACTAGGCAAATGTAGCTTATTTAAAATAAATTATTCTCAGGTAATGCAAAGACAACAAATCAAGACAATCAAGGACATGGAAAGATGATTTACCACAGGCTGATCATATCTGACAAAACTGGTAAATTTTTTGTAATTCATTTTCTAAGCAAAGGAATTGTCATAAATTTACCAGTAAGGATTTAATTTGAAGACCTTTAGTTAAACTGAACTTCAGAAGAAATTTATAGAAGAGGATGAGCAAGGCAATGGGGAGAAGGCATTGAAAAAGAAGCAGCCTGTATGCATACACTAATTTGGAAAGCTTTGCAAATGTTGGTCTTGGATTAAAAATGCCACAAAAAGTAGAAAGATGACAATCAAATAAAGATAAAAGGCATAATCAAATGCAATTCCATAAAGATGAACTGGATAACCTAGTGGACAGGGATAATTTAACAGTCCATAAAATTAAATGCATGATTATGCATGTAAAGCATATGTGTGTTTTAATTTATGGAAGATTTGCTGTGTGCTATCAACATGATGCAGCTCTGAAAACAGATAGCAGACATTACAAGGAGAAGCATTTCTACTAGAGAGGGTAGTGCAAGATACTGGGTTCAGCTCAGAGAAGAATGTGTGCAGTTCTGCTCCCCATGTTCTAGAAGAAATTCAGATTCTTGCAAGTATAAGGAAAGGCTATTGGCTGAATATTAATTTGCAGAGCTAATCTTGTGAGACAAGGCTAGAACAGCTTTTCTTAATCATGGTACTGAATGAAAGTTTAGAAAATATTTTTTCTCTCTGTAATAAGCTAATAAACATTAGGGAGTGAAAAGTGACTATTTCAGCTGAAAACCAGTGTTTTGCATGTGAACAAAGATAAACAAAATGGTCATGTATAAATCTAGGATGGAAATTAGTAGAAAGGTTTTTAACCATTTGAATGAGGCTTGAACCAGTCTACTACAGTGCCATGGTG